AATTATGAATTAATTTAGAGATTAAAAGGAATACTAATTAAATTATGGGCTATTTGTTTTATATAGTGTGGGCTAATACTCATTTGTTAATGGGCTAGGCTTATGTGGAAGTCCATGGATGATCCATGGAGCTTTTAACCCATGGATCCTTGGAAAAGGAAAAGACATGGGTTATTAGGGTTTCACCCTAACCATGCACACTATATAAGCATGCTTATGGAGCATGAAATGAAGCCTAAAAGAGAAAACTAGTGAACTAGTGTGTGTGTGCATGTGTGTGGCCGATTTCTATACAAGGTGTATACTCTCTCAAAGTTTTCCAAGAGTTTGTGGTGTTTGTGATTCCATTTGAGGCATTCACACTATTGGTGCTTGGCCCTCAAACTCCTAAGAACCCAACTCACCAAAAGGTATGTAATCTCTTCTAACTCTTTTATGTTGAAATGTTCCCCATGCCATGTTAGATAGGTTATAAACCTTGGAAAATTATTATTTTGCATGTATTTAGACAAACATAGATCCAAGGTTTATTAGGGTTGCATGCACACTTAGGAAGTGTTAGATTGCTCAAAACCCAACACTTCTAACATTCCAACTCCGATAGTTACTATTAAAAATCCTTATCAAACTAGGAATATGGAGAAGTTTAATGCTTCAAAGATTGTTCTTGATAAACGAACTATGGAAGATAAATTAAAGGATTTCAGGTAAAAAGCAAGCACTTGACATAAGGTTAATGTAGCTTTTGGTTCAGCAAAAGGAAAAGTGAATGTGATTTTAGAAGAAGATATTAATCCTTTACTCACTGAGGAAGAGAGAAAAGCTCAAGTTGCAAGAGATAAAGAGGTTGATGAGCTAAAAGATCTTAAGGAAACTCTTGATCAATTGGATGCTGAAAAACAAAATGTTGTTGAGATTGAAGCATCTAAAATACAATTTATTTCTTGAATAGACTATTGATCGCATGGAGAAAGAAGCGATTAAAAAGGTGAAACCTTTTTTGTTGGAACCAATCACATTCTTTGCAGTGAAGAATGATTTTAATTGTCAATTGGATTTCCCAATGACTACTAAATCCTTTGTGTTTCAGAGTTTGGATGAAGTTGTAGATATTCCTTTGGGAAATGCAGCACTAAATAAGAAATTATTCAATTTCCATGCAAAGCAGTCAAGACCTTAGTTTGAAATTTGGAGCTTGAAAAGAATTTCTGGTCTAAAGGTTGGGAAACCTTTTGAAGCTGAAGGATTTGCGAACATAGCTTTCAAAGGATTCATATGAGTTAATCATGAAGCTTTTGATTTTACACCTACTGATCTTCCACTGATGAATCCATATGATTATATTGTGCTTCTCAACATTTTTTGTCATAGATCCTATAAAATATGAGCCTATTTTTCAGATTTTGATAAGGATGATAAGGGGCTACATTCAATAAAGGTCAAATATGGATGTGGAGATTTCGAAATTGTTGAACACGAAACCAATTATGATACCATTCCCACAACCTAACATACTGAAAAGTCTTGAGGTTAGATATATTCAGAAGGAGCCATGGGGACTGGTTTACAAAACTTCATAGAATGGAGTTATGCGAAATTGTATGATGTTCTTACAGGATTAACACTTGTATCCAACAACACCTTTCACCAATGTTCTTTCACTATATGAAGTTTGCAAGTTGAATACTTCAAGTGATATGAAGTGTGTCTCGGATATGATAACATGGTGGGTGATGGTTTGTATGATTTTTTGGACACAATTCCAAAGGTGTTTGATGAGAAGAAGTGAAGACAACATTCGCAGTTTGACACAAAAGGGGGAGACTGTTAGGTTTCAGCTTTTGTATCGTGTCAAGTTTGTATGTGAATGTGTTTGTAATTTACTTTGTCTTGTTATAAATTCTTCACTTTCGTATGCAAGATTAGCTATTTATATCTCATATATTTGTTTATGTTTAGGTTCGTAGTTTTGTTGTTGGCTTAGGTGTATTCCTTTCTTACTCTCCTCGCAAGCCTATATATATGAGAGTTAGTTAATAGTAAGAGTATCTTTTGGCATGACTAAAGTTGATGTTATTTTTCATATATCATGATCATGATTCTAAATAGTGTTAGTTGTGACTTTAACGACAATGTCAAGCCTTAAGCTTTTACGAGCCGTAGGGACGGGCCAACCAGTTTGAGGGCTCTAAGCGAACCAAAAATATGGGGCCCTTTGGCTAACAAAAATCATACAAAACCTGATTCAATGGTAATGTACTACACATTTAAAGCTCAAACTAGACTACTAGAGCATCCATAAAAATCATGCATAGCCATATCATAATTCATAAATGAAGAAAAACTTAACAATTAACAAATTATCCACCACGGTCTGTGCTCAATGGTAGATAATCTAAAATCATATTCAAATATTCACATAATGTAAGGTCTAAAAACTATTTTACATATAGCATATCAAACATACGCCTAATATAGTAATGGAGAATCACATTCACAGATTATCAGAGGAAGAAGAAGAACAATCGCTTGGTTATCAGAGGAAGAAAAAGAACATATCAATTATCAAACATGAGAAGAATTAGGAATCAACTAATTAGATTGTCATATTATTAGAGGAAGAAAAGAAGAACAATAACATATCAAACTTAACATACTGTTTCACTGTTTCAGAGGAAGAAGAAGAATCGAGAATCAACTAGTTAGATAATCAGTATTCAATCAATATTGCAGATTGATAACGATTACTGCTTGCTTCTGCCAAGAATGGAGAATCAGAGAATGAAAAGCCGAGAAGGAAGATTGGAAGAAGAACATTCCCTTGGTTTTGATGATTTTTGTCAATCTATATCGTGAGCTATTTGGAGAATCACTAATCGACATTTAGGTTAAGTGGGGCCCCTTAAAATTAAGGGCCCTAAGCCCGTGCTTAGTTTCACATGAAGTAAAGTCGGCCTTGACGAGTCTTGGCGAGCACGTCGTTTGTAAGGCCTAACATAAAGCGGCAATTTTGTGTGTGTGAATATATATATATATATATATATATATATATATATATATATATATATATATATATATATATATTATTCATATTTGTGTACATATATGATTTAATGCAGCATTTTATTAAAATTTGATGTCAAAGTACAAACCTTAGAGTCATGACGAGTTTTTTAAAACCTTGATCATAATTACTGATCAACATAGATAATATTTAGAGCATTTATAATAAGAATTTTTTATAAGTTTTCTAAGAGCTTTTTCAAACTAAAAAGTTTCAGAAAAATTTAAAAATAAAATAAAATAAAATAAAATAAAATTATAATAATAATAATAATAATAATAATAATATTCTAGGATTAGTTTTTTCCTTAATTAACAAGCTTTTTCTTTGACTTTTTCCAATTATATAGTGGATCTTATTGTTTTTTTAACCAATTACAAATATACAACTATACAAATAAAAGATAAAAAATAAATAATCAAAAAAAAAAAACTCTCATTTTAGATATACAATAAACTTTGTTATTTTTAGCTTTTCTATGAAAAATATCTACAAAAAAACTCTTATATTATTGATGCTTTTATGGCGTTTCAATATAAAAACAAAACTGCGACTCATAGTTGAATATATTTAATATCTATAACCTTATAGAGTGTGGTACCACATTTCTTACACTTTTTGCATTTCATCTACAGTATGTAATATGGCCACACTTTTCATCTCACCACACGTCCACACCTTTACCTAGGAGGCTAGGAAGGAAATGATCTTTCTCGTGAACATGTTTTTTATTTTTATTTTTTAAATTGAAAGAAAACTAATTTTAGTTATGATTAAATTCAAAACATTTCATTAAAACTAAAAGTATAAAACTTACATGAAAACAATTAAAACAATGAAAAAAAAAAAATTTTTTAGATAGATTCACAATAGATGACCCATGGATTCACCGAAACGGATTATGAGACATAAGGCTAAAATGGATTCACTATGAAAATGAACCAAATGAACCAAATATGAGACATAAGGCTAAACGTAATGAGTGGAAGGTTTTTACGCGTAGGAGATGAAACTTCACTAGCTTCTCACATGCCTTAGGAAATAGTGTTTAGTAGCAAGGAAGAATTGAGGAAAAAAAGAATAGAAGGATTGGGTGGGTGCTTTATTAGGAAAGAAAGGGAGTGGATGAGATATCGGTAATCAGTGAAAGGATGAAGAGACGATGGGAGTGGAACACATGCGACGGTGAATGTTTCACATAGTTCTTCATTCTTCGTTTAGGTGGGGGTGATGAGACGATGGGATGGTGTCGGTGGGGTTATATGGTGATATCTAATTTTTTTGAAAATAAAATAAATAAGAAGATTATAAGAATAAATATGATGGGACGATATATAAATGTTATGTGTTGGAGGCAAAGGTGCACAAAGACGGTCACAAACAAGTTATTGGTCGGTTTTGGGACAGTCTGATCTATTCTGAACCGGTCTCTGTACAGTTTAGTCTTTTTTGGAAAAGCCTCGGCCGACCCTTTTTCGCTACAGTCTTTACGTATCGTAGACTTTTTCGTTTACATTATTCGGTTTGGATTCGGGTTTTTCAGGTTTGTTTTTTCGTTCCGATTTCAGTTTTTAATCTTGTTCTATCTATGCACAACTGATAGAAGACATGAAAACCATAATAAAAAAAATATCATAGTCCTAGTGAAAATAATTAAATAGCTAAGAAGATTGCATATTATTCCAAACCAAGAGGATCATATATGTAATTTAGTCTAAATTATACATTACATAAATAATTATCAGTATTTGGGGTTTTTAATATAATAATATCATAGTAATTTCTAAACAAATTATTTTAGAATTTTTATGGAATAGCATTTATTCAATCAAACAAAAAAATCTGTAATTTAATCCGAATTGGAATTAGACTGACCATTCATCATTTCATCCTAAAAAGGTGAAGAAAAAAATTGAACTATGACTTCAATTCTAATATTATGTCCATATCTTGCTTGTAAATGGATTCCTCTTTATGGAAGTAATCAACACGTGTGAAGGAGCAGAAATGAAAGATCGCCATCTTTCGAACTTATCATGATGACTCACACCAATTATCCAAATATCCTGTCGCTCATCATTCACATTCATGGCGTCCCATCCTTCATCTCTCCATATAACCACACTCTCCCCCATACGAAACTCCATCTTCTTCACACATTATATCATATCCAAACAAAGCCCTAGCTACCTTCACTATTCATCATGATGATGACCACTGCTACACCGATTGCCGTTGCTTCCCAAATCTCATCAGCCCCTCGTCTATCTCCTCCCCAATGCATCACCAATCCAAGGTTTTACTCGATTCAAACGTCATTTCTGCAAATTAAATCTGATAATAAGCTAATCGTATGTGTAATTGGGTGTTAACGTTTCAGATTCGAATTGGTAACGAAGGCTCAGTTATCGAATCAACGCACCCGTAGAAATGGTAATGATATCGGCAACAAAGGCAGAAATTTTAACTTCAGGTCAGCCGAGAAATTATATTCAAATCCTGAATAGATACTGATGAACATAATCCAGTTACAAATTTCTCAGAAAACATATATTTAGATCTCCTTTCGATTTCCATCAATTTTGAATTCTGAAAATCGACATCGATTTCCCTCAATTTTATGATTAAATCTTAGTATTTTGGGCGTGGTGTTCTTTACAGTTGGATGGCTACAGTCGGAGAGAATGTGATGCCAACAACGCCGGTGACGCCTACATCGGTGCCGGTGCGTGTGGCTCACGAGCTTCATCAAGCCGGCCATCGTTATTTAGATGTGAGGTACTCCAATCGAAATCCGAACTCAATGGGTCTTCAATTCATTCTCCAATTGCTTCACCATGTAAACGATCATGAACATTTTTTGTGTAGAACTCCTGAAGAATTCGCTGCTGGACATGCTATTGGTGCCATTAATGTTCCTTACATGTTCAGACTCGGATCTGGGATGTCCAAAAATCCCAACTTTATTGACGAAGTCTCATCCCACTTTGGGAAAGATGATGAATTTCTCGTCGTAAGTTCAAAAGATCGATAAGTTTTTCCCTTTAAGCAATTTGTAATCTTTCTTTTGATCACTTCGATACATGAACATTTAGGGTTGCCAATTGGGGAAAAGGTCGCTCATGGCTGCCACAGATCTTCTTTCTTATGTAAGTTTGCATGCATTCCGACATTCGTAAATCACAGTCGAGTATATATTGAGTAGGAATTATGAAATGATGGAATTTTTCGTTTAATTTGCATGAATGCAGGGTTTTACAGGTGTAACGGACATAGCTGGTGGATATGCTTCGTGGAATCAAAATGGGCTTCCGATAGAGTCTTGAAATTTGCAAAATGTGAATAAAAATGGAAGCAAATAAGAGGATCATTGTTAGTTTTGTAAATAAAAACAAGTTTAGATGGTTCTTGATCCATGCATGTATGGATCATAACATTGTATACAAAAATTATGAAGAAAAAGTTTTATTAGACCTCGATTATATCGAAGATTGTATGGATCATAACATTGTTTAATGATCTCCTAAATATTGAAAGTAAAATGTTAACCAAACAAAGGTGTTTTAGTATTGATTATATAGTAGGATTCTGTGATTATTGGAGTAAGGTAGTATTTTTCTACTCAAGTTTCAAGTTCTAATTTTTTATTATATATAAGTAAGTTGTAATGATGTTATTAAATTATATTAATATTATATAGACAAAATATGATTTTACTTAAATATACACAAAATCATCATTATCGTCAGATATTAGACTTGTTTTCATTAAAAGTGAGATTTCCATATTAGTCGATATGTCCGAGTGGTTAAGGAGATAGACTTGAAATCTATTGGGCTTCGCCCGCGCAGGTTCGAACCCTGCTGTCGACGTTTTTTTAATTTTCTGAAGTTGTGATATATTTTATTATATTTTTACGCACCATCCTTAAAAAAATAAAAATATAAAAATACAAAGTCAACCAATTTTGCGCAAGTGCTTTAACACTTGGATTTAATGATGAACTTTAGGATGAATCAACAATCTCTTCTCAATTTGATTTCTCCTATCAATGTGAAGCTCTCAACTCTCACAAATGGTTCCAATGGAGGAGAGTCCAATTTAAAGCTTAAGCTCGAAATTTTTTATCATAACTCATAAGCCATAACTAGTCTTCCAACTTCATCTTTTTTAAACATGCACCCTTGCCAGGGATTTCCTTATCATTTCTAATCCTCTAACTTCTATTTTGACCCAAGCAATCAATATAAGTCCAACATCTATTAAAAAGGTTAAATCATGGTTAAACACATCAACATCAAATCAGGAAATCTAGCCTGCTATTTATAAGAGATCTAAACACAAATAAACTTTGATGATTCTCAAAGTTTTGCCAAAAACTCGGAAAAAAGGGATTTTTCTATTCACTTCCTAATTTCGTTCTAACTTGATATTTTTTTCGTTCAAACTGCTTGCAAACCTAAACTAAATGATTGAAACAAGTCGAAAGTAAAAATATCGATTTTTTGTGAATTTAAACAAATAAAAATATTGATTTTTTATGAATTTGAAATTTGACCCTTAAAAAAGTTACAAACATTAAAAGGAAATTATGAATTTAAAATTTTACTCTTAAGAAAATAAACAATTTCTAATTATTGTTACTACAACGTTATTATTAAACATACAATGTTATTATCAAATAAATTAAAATCAAACATTAAAAAAAATTACATTCTATTAATTCGATTAAAACAATAAAATTTATTCGATTAAGCAAATTAAACAAATAAAAGTAAGCATACAATGTTATTATTAAACAAATTAAAATTTTACAAGTTACTAATTATCTGATATGTTAACTCTTTCAGGACGATGATTATTGCATGGTCTACATGGTCCAACGTAAGTATTCAACCGAGCATGATACAATAGTTGTCATCTAGTAGAGTGTGCTAATTTGTGTATATTCCATATCCAATAAACATTATCCATTGGATGACCCTCTTGTAAATCAACATTAACATAATAAACATCGTTAAGGGGGCGATATTTATAATTGGATGATTTGAGAAATCTTGTGGACCACTCCAAAGTGGGAAAGACGTTAAAGATTCGAGTTTGCTTAAGAAATGAGAAATAACATCATACTTATTAGCAATTAGAATACCAGTGCCAGGCAGAATCATCCAATATTTTGCAATCGTGGGTGTTCCATAAAAATCCAACGCTTCACTAATGGTATTTATGTCATTTGCAAATACCACTATGTAATCATCAATGTGCGTCAATAACTCTCTGTATAAGTTCGTCCAAATTTGATGCCAATAGTCTTCACTATAACCAAGAGCAATAGCTACTGTTCGGAATCCACAATGTCCATCTCCTTCCACATTTTGTATGTTTGTCACATATGGTTGAAATTCACTTGTAATATCATCCATAAGTGCATGGTCGAAGTATAATCTTTGATACGTTGGTTCTCTGTTGAACATTGAAGATTCTCCAAACAAATATGTATTGTGTCTCTCCGGTTCCGGTTGTTGGTTTAAATCAAACATATTAGATCCCAAATAATTTGGTACATATGTAGAATAACTACGTCTACGAGGATCTTGACTTGGTGGAACCGGAGGTTTTGCTTGTGGTGATTTTGTACTCGCTTGTGGACGTCCATGGGTATTTGTATGAACAGCAGGCTGAGAAGCTATAATAGGTGATGACTTCCATATATTCATCATTTTTTGAAGATAATTAGCCTTCACATCATTTGACTGTTTATTGTAGCTTTTCTTTAAAAGGTCCACTTCATTATCAAAAGCTGATTCATCATTTCGGGTGACTGGCACCACATTCTCTACTTCAAGTCTCCTCCAAAAAATATCAATTGACTCCAAGGGTATTTGTCGGCATGTATTGTAATAAACCAAAATTTCATGGACACAAGCCAACTCACAAGTACAGCGTAGTTTACATCCATAGTTGGCCTCAGTTATATTTTGAAAATTTCCTTGTTTGCCCATAATTTCTTATATGATACCCAGATACCCTTAGACTTTAAAGTTGGTTTGCAATGTTTCTTTATACATTCAAATATGTGTCATCTACAGAGTAACCGATTGAATGCGGGGAATACATTTGCTCAATTCAGTAAGGCTAACTCACCATCTATGACGATCACATATGGCCCATTATAGCCACCAAATGTGTTCCTAAGACAACTTAATGCCCAAGTATAATTTGCCTCTTTCTCTTCATCCATAAGCATGAAAGCTATGGAAAATGTGTTGTTTATTAAAGTGAAACCACCAATTTCAAGAAGAAGCATGTTATACTTTTTATCTTATATTTGGCATCCATCATTAACACTTGTGGAAATACACATCATATATTCAATGATGTCTGATGAACAAAAAACAAGTTTTCCAACTCATTAGTCGTGTCATATTTATATATATATATATATATATATATATATATATATATATATATATATATATATCCTTTTGATTGCAAAATTTTGAATACAACTTGCATTTCGCTTCGATCTGCATGCATTTGTGATCATTATTTTTCTCGTGCCCCATAAATAGTGTCTATTGTACTTACATTATGTTCATTTTGACTCTTCAAGTTCAAAAGAATATTGTGTGGAGGGACATCATTATCAGTCATGTCTTCTACCATACGACGCTCATCTTCAGTCAACCGTTTTGCAAATGCATGGTCCTCCATAAACATTGCAAGGTCATGATTATGTTCACCATTTTTAACCGTTAATGTCCAAAAATCATAAGTCTTATAATAATTTTTGACCAATTCAAAGGAACACTTTATTATTATTATTTTTTTGTCCATGTATTACTACTAGATGTATTTGTACCTCTATAGAATCCACTCCCATCACAAACTAAAATGATTTTTGAAACATAGCCTCCACTTGTTTTCGTTTTAGATTTATTTGTAATGACCACATATCCAAGAGTCAGTGTCACATGGTCAACCCACTCCTTCAAATTTTTACGGGTGCTAAACACCTGACAAATAAAATACATACCTAGTTAGTTTGAAAATTGTCTCAACATATTAATATACAAAACTATAAGGAAAAAAACAAACCTAGTTAGTTTTAAAATCCGTCATATGATCCAAGGGTTGTAGATATATTAATTTAGTACGTTATATAGACTACCCCTATGAAAGGTTTCAATATGGTTGTCATTAATTTATTTGGATGGGAAGGTAAGAGAAAAATAGTTTATTTGTGAGGTTGTCATTAATTTATTTGGATGGGAAGGTAAGATAAAAATAGTTTATTTGTGAATAATGATTTTTTATAGACTAAAAAGATCTTGATAGACTAAATGCAACACGAGCATCTCCATGATAGACTAAAATGAAGGGTCCTCCTAAATACACGACTGAATTCGTGTAGGGCATAAAATTTAGTAGTTTTACCTTGACTTACGTCAAATCAATTTCATTTGTCAACTATTTTTATTTAAAACCTTATAACTTAAAGCAATAACATATGTTGGCCCTTTAACTTTATAATCCTTCGTTCCAATCCATTTTAGTTGTAAATCACTTTTATTTGAAACCTTATAACTTATAATAGTAATATATATTGGCCCATTAACTTTTAAATATTGTCATTTTATCTTTATAATAATAATAATAATAATAATAATAATAATACAAGAAAATTTCTGAATAGCTACGGAAAATATTTACGGAATCAAAATCCGTAGCAATTTTAGTATGGAATATGCTACGGAATGGTTTGTCGTAGCTATAATGCTACGGAAACGGTTACGAAATTGTATTCTATAGCTAAATCCTAAATAGCTACGTAAAGTTTCTACGGAATCATGATCCGTAGCTATTCTACTATAAAATATGCTACAAAATGGTTGGTCGTAGCTAATTTGCTACAAAAATAACTACGGAATTGCAGTCCGTAGCTAAATCATGAATAGTTGTTACGAAATCGAAACCCGTAGCTATTTTACTATAAAATATGCTATATAATTTTTTGTTGTAACTAGTTCGTTATGGAACTTGTTGTGGAACTCAAATTGTAACGAATAGATGTCGTAGAAACTATCATAGCAAAATTGCTATGAAATTATAATTTCGTAGCTAAACAGTTTGCTACAAGAAATAAAACTACGGAGTCTAATTGAAATTTTATGTAGCGAATTCCATAGTTATTTGGCTTTAGCTACGAAATTTCATGTTTTTGCTATGAAATTTTTCCGTATTTAAATCGTTTACAAATAATTAAATATATAGGATTATTGACTCGGTTTCCCTGTAAAACAAAAGTATGAGGAAAAAAATTAACTTGATGGGAAATGATAAGAAAAACATTAACTTGATGGGAAATATATAGGATTATTGACTCAGTTTTCCTGTAAAACAACCATCATTAGTAATTAGCATATACATCATGTGAAATTAAAAAAAAAAACATTTGGAAAATGATAAGAAAATTAGGACTATACAAAAACATAATAAAATAAATTAAAAAACTAAACTAGTAACTTAATTATTATTTGAGTTTAATTTTATTAAAAAAAATTAAAAATTTTATTAAGTTAATATTATATCATTTAGAAGTTATCTTTTGCAATTTAATATATTAATTTAAACTAAAATAATAATATAAAATATAGTATAGAGATTGACATATTAAAAGTTTAATAAAAATGGAAA